TGTTGGCTACTCTTCAAGCCATTCTGAAAGGTTGGGACCTTTGATGTATCATTTCTGTAGGATTTGACAGAGAAAGTATTTGCACTGGCTACCTTTTAACTTGCACGTAGATGTAGAATAAATGGAAATTTACTTATCTGCACAGAAATATATCAGTAACAAGAATAAAAAGATATGCATTTTTCTTAAGTGCCGAAGTTGGTTTATCAAGGCCATTTCTACAAACACAGCAGGGCCAGAAAGTACATTTTGTTATGGCAGCCTAACTAATTATTAGCACACCTGTCAGTGTGATTTATGTCCATAGCAAGTAGCATTCCTTGAGAAAATCTCAAGAATGGATTACAAAATAATACCTGCCAAGAGCTACTTCTATAGAGCACTATGGATGAGACTGAAGTTTCATTCCATCCATCCGAGGGAATCCCAGCAGATTTCATAGCCTTTCAGTGCTCCTGCATGCCTTCCCACCACATACCATGGTACTGAGGGTGAATACCATTTTCTCAGTTTAGTGATAAGTGAATGTCATTCTGGTGGGGCTGCACTGGCTTATTTTGACCGAAAAAAAGTCATAAAGTAGTTACAGCTCCTAGCTCTGACTCATGTAGGTGTAACCCAAGGCATTCTGAAGTGGCTGTGGGTGTCTAAGTAGGACGGAAGCATCGTGGGAAATGCTTTTCTTCTAGAACATTCAGGATGAGAGCGTATTGCAACTTGTCTGATATTTACAATCAAAATATAAAGATATTTAACATTCTTTAATTTTTGTAATGAACAAATTGCCTTTCCCTCACATTCTTTAAAATGCTTTTTAAAATATCAGCAAGATTCAGGAATTGTTCTTCAAGTCTGCCAAAGTGCATCATTCAAATTTTTGGCACACACTGAACACAGTGGATTGTTTTAAGTTAATCATTTGTTTAAAGCACATCTAATTAGCACGGATAGCAATGCAGAGATTATACATTGTTTAAATGCAGACAGTATTTCTAACTTTACAGATCAGTGAGGTGTATTATTGCATGGCAATTCCATTGTTTGTGCAAGAAATACAGCAAATGAAGTTCCTTATCATGATAGGAGGTCAGACTTGAAGCCACCAGGTGTTTCTTTGGGCAAAAGAAGAAGGGAATAATAAACTTAAGCACAGATAACCCCTTTCTTTATTGTTTTATAAACCACTTTTCTCAGATAGATGACAGTAAATTAGTTTTACAACTCTGTATGTGGTTCTAGCGCCATATGGACTACATGGACCTGACACCAAATAAGTGTGTGCCTTCCCAAGTCAAGCAGGTGGAGGTCATGGTGATAAACTGAAACTGTTTGCTTTCCTGAAGGCCTTTGTTTCATTCTAGGATTTAGCATAGGCATAAATTATACATGTACTTCAGCTAGTCCAGCTTGCCTGCAACTACAATTTGTGGGCTCACGTGCTCACAAAGAGTGAATAGTAAATTCTGTAGAGAAGAATGGATCTCACTGAGTCTGAAAGATAATAGGATTTATTTTATAAATAATATTAAGCAAATAAAACGTAATATTTAATATGGTCATCTCTTTAACCAAAAATGAATGGAGAACAAAAAAAAGTAGCTTGCAGCTAAAAAATATGGAAATTACTCATCCATATATATTTCCATGGTCTTTGATGATGATTCATAAAAATATTGGCATAAATTAATTCAAGATAGAACCATTTATAATTGAACAAATCATCAAGAAAAGACAACTAACCGTGGAAATATGTAAAATTTGACCTATTAAAGCTGGTTCCTTGCCAGCCATTAATATGTGGAAAGTAGGTTGCAGAAAGAAATCAGAGTTTTGCCTTAGACATCTAACTAAATATGTATTCAGTCATTGACTTGTCAAATCACAACATTTTGTCTTCTACATTAACTTTGTCATTCCTCTTAACTACAAGGCTGCTCCTAAAGCAATTCTCCGACTTTATAATGCTGGCCCACAACCTCAGAGATGGATGTTGGTGATGTGGCATATAAGTTGAACCTTCCCACTAATATTTATTCCTTCACATTTTGTTGGCAGCAGAATGGCAGTCTGACAAAATGGTGTCTAACATGGAAGCGTATAGAAGCAAAGAGGTGGAACTGAATTTCCACACGTGGATGAAATATCTCCCATTGATATTCATTTACATTTGCTGAATGTTTATGGAGAGCAAACAGTGGATTTTGACACAGTGAGGTGGTGGGTGGTGCATCTCAGCAGTGGAGACATCAACATGAAAAACAAGCCACATTCCAGACAGCCATGCACAACTGTCACACCACAAAATGAAGAGCATCTCAATCAGATAGTCCATGTGAATCAATAGATTTCAACCAGGGAGCTATGTACAGAGCTGAATATTGGCTTCAACACATTGGAAATGGAGGTGGCCACAGTGGAATATCCCAAAGTTTGCACCAGGTGGGTCCCATGAATGCTCACACAGGGAAAGAATGAACACCATACGTAAATTTGTCAGGATCTGTTGAACCAACTTGAGGTTGAAGGTGACATTTTCCTGGATCATTACCACTGATGAGACATGGCGTCACAGCTATGAGATGGAGTCAAAACAACAGTCAGTGAAGCAGCAACACGATTTTCCCATTGGTTAAGAAGTTCAAGATGAAGACCTCAGTTGGTAAAATGATACACAGGGCCTATTGGGGGTAGGAAAGGAGCGATCTGTGTGGGTTTCCTGGAACTTCAAAAACCACTGACTCTCACCACTACATCACAACACTGACTAAGCTCAAGAGTCAGGCTAGAGAAGAAGACAGCCCTTCTCTTGCAAGATGTTAACAGCAGAGCCCCTACCAGTTTGAAGACAGTGGAGGACATCGCAAATCTTCTCTGGACTATCCGACCACATCCACCATATAGCTCAGATTTGGCACCTTCTGACTGCCATCTGTTGGGACTGATGAAAGACTGACTGCATGGGCAACATTTTCTTAGCAACACCATTATGCCAGCTGTGAAACAGTGAGTCACCTCTGCTGCTGCAGATTTTGAGTGCAGCATGTAGGCTCTTTTTCATCACTGGCAAAAACACATAGGTAATGGTAGTAAGTACATAGAAAAACAACAGTGTTTTTTGGGTTTTGTTTGCTTTTTTTTTAAATAGAAGTGGCTCTATCAGATAGTGTCATTGCACTCTTTATATCTGTTGCAGCTTCCATGGAAATAAGAGAGGCATTACTTTTGAAGCAACCTGCATAGACACCTGTATTCTCAGACTGCTGCACAAAGGCACAGAGGTATGCAGCTGATCTGTAGCTGTTAGGATAGATACTTACTCTTAAGCACTCCCCAAAGGGCTCAGTGGCAAAGATGTCCATCCAGGTAGCTCCTGAAGAACTATCCAGAGATGTGCAAAGTGACAGAGGGCCTCTTAACCTGCCTTTGCCCTGTCACCTTTTGGGAGCTTGCGAGAAATAATCTTGTGTTTACCTAGATAGGGAAAGTCCTCACCCTTTCCCTCATTTCTTGCATAATGCCATGAAGTAGCTAATTTCCTTGTAAATCAAATTACTTCACAGCATTTTGCCTCTCATTCATTCTCAGCCATGTTTATCCCAGCGTGCAAGAAAGGAAGTGGCGTGAAATAATACTGAGAAATCCCCATGGTACTAATATGTACCCCATCACTGCTGGCCTTATCAGGAGCAGAGGACAAAGCAGCAGCACACTTATAAAAAAGGGATGGTGGTGAAGCACCAGGCCTGCTCTCCTTTCCCTCCCAGACAGAGGGAATGGCTTCTCCCTCACACAGCCACCCAGCATCACGCTGCTATGTAGCTCAACAGAAGGTCTGTAGAGGTGTTTGCTGCTGCTGCACATGCAAAGTACCTCCTTAGAGGAAACAGATCTCTGTGTGTTCCATAACTCACCAATATCGGAGAGGGAAAAGATTGCTTCTGTGTGTGACACGCAAATCTCTGCATACAGTGTTAAATAGCTGTTATGCAGTGGCCAATCCCCTGCCATTTGTTGAAGCAAACATTGTGCACACTGATATTAACAAAGGTCAGATATGACCTGACTATTAAATTACAGCTTGTTCCACCTTTGCTCTTTGAAATTCTCCTTTCAAACCAGCCTAGGAATAAGATAACTCAGTAAACAAATCAGTGTGAAGAAGTGTAGCACCTCATGCATACGTATGTGATACACGTCGGCCATGATCCCTGGCAGTAGCACTCCCACGATGCAAAACCAGACTTTCGGGTTTGCCAAGCAAAATGAAGTCCTGCATTCAATTCCATGGTATTAAATACCTGTAATGTGAGACATTTTGAAAACTTTACCTATTTCAAAACGTTAAGGCACACCATGGACATGGGTGGACAGAACTGAAATCAGAATCTGAAGTAGTAAAAAAGAAAAAAAAAAAAAAGGAAATGAGGAGACAAAGACACCTCTACCTCGTCTGCTGCCTTTGCCAATTTCATTGCCTTTGTTACATGTAGGCCACTCCAAAAGCAACACCTCTTATTAATTCCTATGCAAACTACGACAGATACAAAGAGCACAATCGCACTGTTTGATAGTGCAACTTCTCAACTGCAAAGCACTATTTTTCAACACAGTCACAACCATCAGCTGTGCATTTTTGGCAGTGACAAACATGAGTCTGCATACTGTTGTCATAGTGGAACATGTCCTGAACTTGGCTTATCTTTTACACTGCCCTCACCACTGCTGAAACGCACCACCCACTGCCTCACTGTGCTCACATCCACCCTTGGGGCTCCATAAACGTTCAGCAAACATCAGTGGGCAGCACTTTTTTCACATGGAGGAATTCAATTCCATACCTTTGCTTCATCTGCACTTCCACGTTAGATAACATTCTGCCCCTCTGCTGCCACCTGTTGCATGGCAACAAAATGTAGTGGAACATTGGCGGGACCGTTCAATTCTACTGCCAGACCGACATTCACCTCTTCTGTCATGGGCCAACGTAATAGGAGCCAGTATTTTCAGAGCAGCCCTCTGAAGGCCGAGTTTATAGCTGTATTTATTAATGCCCAACACTTAAACTCTCCCATCAAGTGTACTCATCTCACCTTTGCCCCTTCTGTGATGGAACTGCCCAGGGAGATCCTGTTCACTTCTGGTTATTGCTTCGAGGACACAGCAAGCAGTGGAATGAGGCAGGACTGGAACTACGACACGGAGCACCGGGAGCTTCTGCAGCCAGCACAGAAGCCGCATCCCGCGCAGCCCTGTCAAGTGAATGGAGAAGAGCCGAGGGAAGGCACACGTGGGGCCGAATGGTTTCATCGAGCGGGCAGATATCGAGCAGGAGGGCAAAGCGGGCAAAGCCGCGGTTCGAGCTGAACTCCACTGACAGGAGCTGCACCCGCGCCCTTTACAGCACTATAATCCCTATCTGCAGAACCCCATTAACTTCCTGCTACCTGCCAAACGCTTCCTTGGTTACACTGTAACGCCAAGCACCTTCTAAATCCGCAGTTCGTCATCAGACTTAACCGCATTTCCCAGAAAAGATATCCAGAACGCAACGTCACGGGCGCTGGGAAGGCAGGCGGCGTTTACACAGGGCGATAAGGAGCGATTGCGGAGGGCTCGGTCTCCTAGCAACCGTGCAGCCGCCTCATGGCAATTCGGCAGCGCGGAGGCTCCGGGCCGGCGGCAGCGCGGAGGCGAGGGGCTGCGAGCGGCGGCAGGAAGGTAACCAGACCACGAAGGACCGCGCCGTCGGGGGGACGCACGCGGAGGGAAGCATCGTTTAAAAACCCGCGAGCGCTACGGGGAGCGGACGCCCTCGGCGGCCCCGCCGCTCTCCTAGCGCGACGCACGGCTCGTCCCGCGCGGCCGCCGACGCGGCGCGGGTGCCCCACGGCGCCGGGAGCAGCCGGATCGGGAGCGGCGGCCGCACCGGAGACGCGCGTTACGGCGCCCCCCGCAGGCAGCGGCCATGGGCGAGTAGAAACCGCCGAGGGTTAAATGCGCGTGCCCCGGCTGGCCGCGCCCTCCCCCGGCGCTCGCCGCCCAATCAGCGCGCGCGGGGCGTGGCGGGCCCCGCCCTCGGCGGGGCGCGCGGCGCGGGGTGACGCGCAGGGCGGAGGGATGGTGGCGGCGCGGCCGTGTGCGCGGCGCGCGGCCAACGGCTGCTTGGGGGTCGCGCGGCGGAGCGCGCGCCGGGTCCCCGCCGGCCGCTGAGGTGAGGGGAGCGCGGCGAGGCGGGGCCGAGGGCCGAGGGCCGGCGGAGGGCGGCGGGACGGCCGCGAGGGAAGGAAGACGCCGGGAGGGGCCGCCCGGGGGAGCACCGGCCGCGGGGACGGCGGGCGTCCGCCGGGAGCGGAGGGGCCCCGCGGGCGGAGAGGAGGCGCTCGGAGGGCCGCGCTCGGCAGCGGCTGCGCGTCGGTGGTACGGCGGCGGGACGGGGCCTGAGGCCGGCCTGCGGGGCGCGGCGGGGCCGGGGGCTGACCTGTTGCTGCGGGGGCTGCCGGAGCCGGCGGCCGCCCGTGCCGCTCGTACGGCTGCGGCCGGTTCCGTGCCGCCCTGAGCCGCCCGCGGCCGGCACGCCGTACGGCTGAGCGGGGAGCAGCCGAGCGGCTCTGGCCGGGAAGGGACCTCTCCTAAGAAGTGCTTACGCCGTTAGAATGTTAAACAAAATGGTTTTGAAAGCGGAGGACGTCATCTGCGCTTGGCTGACAGGGAACTGCCCGGCCCTCGGTGCAGCGTTTGTGGATGTGCAGCTTCGTGCCAGGAGCACCGATGTGTGCGCACAGCTTCTAGAAACAGCGGTTCCTACTGAGCAGAAAGCCTTCACTGGCGTGTACGGCTAACTGTGCCTTCTGTGCTTTTCTCTAAGTACCTTGTTGCATCGCTTGACTGTTCCAGGCGCGGTATAGAAGCCATCGATTCCGTTGCCAACGGTGCAGCCCTCAGAGGACGCTGGAGGTTGGACTCAGTGATCCTTATGGGTCCCTTCCAACGCAGGATATGCTGTGATTCTCTGGCCTGTGCCTTCTGCTTTGTGCTGGGGCCTCACTGCTTCCCGCTCTCTCCGTCAGTAAAGGGATGCAGGGACAAACCAACTGCGTGCGTGCCATGTTTTACATGGTTAATTTGTGAAATCTTAAGCAAAAGACGATGGAATGATAGTGGGATGAAAGGTGCAAGAGTTCTGGATCTTTACTTCTTACTGCATAGCGTATTCTCTAAGTTTCAAAACCACGGATTGATTTTTGACTGTTGAATGTTTCCTCTTGAAACAACATTAGACGGTTTTATGGTCTGTGTTTAATTCAAAGCGTTAATTATAAGGTGTTCATCATAAGCAGCTAGCAGAATGAGGGCAGTATTTCAGGCTGTGGTAAAAGTCTCATCACTAGGAAAGCAAAGGAGCGCAGAGGCACAACAGTAGTGGTGGTGGAACCATGGGGGAACCATGAATCTCATTAGAGGAATTAGAGATTAATGGTTGTGTCCTGTCACAGGGCAGCCATCGGCCCCATTGCCGAGGGTGTGACACACAGCACACAGCACGTCAACAGGCTTTCTGGAACAGCTTACAGGGTTGAGAGGGGTAACTGCCAGCAGAGCATGGGTCGTCTCATGGGATGCAGGAGAGAAGCATCTTATGATTGTAGAGAGCTTCTTACAGATGCTTAGAGGAGGGACCAAAGGAGGGGAGCAAGGTGGTTTGCAGAGCAACGGTTATGGGAAAATAGATGGAATAGAGGATAAAAAGGCCCAGTCAAGTGCAAACAAACACTGGTCAGCATGTTTGTCTGGTCATACTCTATGCCGGATTTCTGCAGCCTGTTCCTTTTTCTTATTAAGCTCCATATATAACTGTTCTCCTGGAAGAGAGGACTCTGTATTCATATGTACATATTCTCAGTGCCAGCAGCAGGAATGATACTGTAACCTGTAGGGACCTCTGTGACTGATGAGAGAGAGAGAGGGGGTCTAAGTGCCACCAGCTGGGTTGGTGACCTGGAGAGAGAGATCATGTGTGTGTTGGCGGGTCTGCCAGTGTGTGGTTGCTGGTGAGCGTCGGGCTGGGCTGGCTGGTGAGTAGGATAGAGGGCCTGGGGCCAAGTATGAGTGCAACTGGGTGTGGGCACGATGCTAGTGAGATGAGAGGATCTTTGAGCTGGCAGTGAGAGAGATCAGATGAGAATATGAGATTTGAAAATTGTTGGAGACCCATTGGTGCATGTATGTGAGACAGGTGACTGGATACAAAGGGTGGCTGGGTACTGGATAGGCTGAGCATCTGAGGCCGTTCAGTGAGGAATCTGTGGTGCACCCATGGGGAGTTGGCACTGTGAATCTGGATGAGATCTGAACCAGCACTGGGATGGGGTCTGTGGGGAGACCAGCAGTTCCTGGGTAGATCGAGTCCCTGTAGAGATCCGCGTTGTGTGTATGCCCGTACTTCACACTGACAGACCTTTGTTCCTGCTTGGCCAGACAGGGAACAGCGTGAGGTGTGTGTGCATGTGTGCCATACAGCCTCAGCCTTGCTGCTGCCGGTACCTGGGACAAGGAGCTGCAGCAGCCTCGGCTGTTGTGGCTGGCAGCATCCAACTGGTGAAAGTTACTGCAAGTTGAGGATGCAGGAATCTTTGGTTCTCAAAGCATAAATTTGAAGCCAAACCTACAATGACTGCTAAGTTGTCATAGAGTTTTAAAGCACTCGGCGTTTTGGCTGATGTGAATAAGGCTACTTACATGAGTGTGTAAGTAGATAAAGAGATTTATTTAAGCTGTCATGATGTAGTAATGGAGCACAAGTGTAAGCTTATCATTACAGGGTTTTTTTCCTTTCTTTTTAAACTGCATCTCTTTAGAAAGTCAAAAGAAGTGAAGATAGAAGTAGGAATAAAAATGGGAATCTTTTAGTGACCTGTGTGTTCTGCACTTGCCTTTTCCTTCTGCATGTATCTCACCCCTGAATAAATCACTTTTTGGAAAAGAGTGGTAACAAGGAAGTGGGAGTGGGAGTGTTTGTCATCATAAGAACTGCTGTCACTTTCAGTTACTGCTGCTGGCAAGTTAAAAGGCACTGCATGTGTCAAATAGCAACATGCTGTTAAAAAACAGAAGTACTGTCCTGTGTGCTTCTGGAGTTCGTGAGCATATGGGGATGTATGCGTGTATGTCCAGTTTGTTGATATGAAATTGACACAGTTGTGAGCAGATTATTTCAAATTGAAAACTAATAAATAATATTAATAGTATTGAACAGCAAAACAACTTTTTTCTAGTAGAAACTGCTGCAGCTACTTTGTGTGCATCCATGGATTATTTTTCCTCCTTTTAAATATGCTGAAGGAAGGCATTGTTTTATCCTGGCACTCTCCTTTTGCTCATTTCCAGTTCTGAGGAGACCTTTGTGGTGATACGTGGGACAAGTTAAAGCACAAACAAATATCTTTAGTGCAGTGAGTACTTTTCAGAGCCGTTGGCTGCTTGTGCATCTGGGCTTTCCCTTAAATTGTGGCCAGGGTGGGGTTGGAGGTCACCTCATGTAAGTCCCTGGGTTTTCTGTCCAAGTTTATGGCATATAGTAAGACACAGAAATAAAGCTAGACACATTACATATGACAATATATGATTAAAAACTGTTGTGCCTGTTCGTATTAAAGAACTAGAACTCTTTAGCAGCCTGGTACAGCCTTTTGACATCTTAGTTTTTCTTCCGTGCTTTAAGTTGCGTTTCCAGTTCTGTTTCATTTTTCTGGCAATGTGGAAAGAAGGCCTTGTCGCATGTTGCAACTTCTTCCCACTCAGCTGAGCCAGATGGCTTCTGGAGGCCCCAGCCCAATGGGCACACCTGCCTTCTGTCCTCTGCTTTCTGATCCAGGGAGGTCAGAGGGGCAGGACGGCGGTGTTTGGAGTGGGTGTTGCTGCGTACTGATTCGCGCAGCTTCCTTGGGGCTGACACTTTGCAAAAAGCTCTTCATAGCCAGCAAGGGAAGTGAATGCGGGCTGGATGGGTTGTGCTGGTGGCAGTGGATCTTTAACTGGTGATCTCTAGAAGGCATTCAGCCTTTGATGAAGATCAATACCTTTGCTTAGAAGCAGCTGTGTGCATTTGATAAGACATGGTGGCATCAGTTTACTGTTTGTGGTCATCGTGGTGTTTTTCTCTACTGATGTTTGCTGTTGTAATAATGTAGATCAAATACACAGACAGCAGAATACCAACTTGAAATATCATTTTTGCTGTGACATTGACAAGTACCCAACAAGCTTTCTAGAGGAATGTCCCACCTTTATAATGTGCAGAACAGAGGTCTCATTTTGGGACTGACCTACTGTGTTAGGAAAGTGACATCTGGAGGTGAATTCAAAGCAACATCATTAGCGCAGCATAAGGATGTTAAGAGAAGATACCCTTGTAGCCAGGTTCACTGCAGTGTCATGGAGCACTGCAACATTTCTGATCCTTAACAGTTTCTCCCTTTACTGCTGTCTGTTCGCCTCAGACACACCTTTGCAGTCTGGGTGCTGTGCATTCTGAGATTCCTTGCCCAAGCTCTTGTGCACACCAGTGGTGCTTTTTCCTTCTGCGCTGTAAGATGTTGATGTCAGAGGGAGGCTGAAGGGTTTTGCAATAGAATGTCTGAGCACTTGCTCCTGCCTGCCTTATCTGTGGTGGCAGCTGACTGAGTAGGAAGTACTGCTCCTTTTACATTCAGTCCTGTTGCTCTGTGCATTCGGTAACCTTTTTTTGGCTCCCTACTAACTAAATGGGGTTCTGCCTCTTGATGTTAAGAATGATGCTAATGGAGGGAATGTCATCAGCTCGTTTGTAAGGTTGGCTTGACTCCAGTATGTATTTAACTGTCTGTGTTTCTGTGGCTTAGTTGTGAATTATTTGAACACATCTCAACTCCTTTCAAATCTCTCAGGCCTCCATGGCCTGGAATTGGTCTGCATGTGCTTAATATATGTAAATTCATGATTGTTTTAGATGTATAAAGCTCATTTTACGTAGGTGTAGATCTTGTCTTTGTTTAAAGTTCTTACAATGCTAAACCAGTCTTTTTCTTTTTGAGAAGCACAGGTGTGGCCAAAGATTAGGTTTACATGACTGGAATAGATGTTTTTTGATGTGTAGGAGTGGCTTTAAGGCTGACATGCTTTCTTCTCTTCTTCCAAATGCCTTCTAAAAGGCAGTGTTTCTTTACTGAAATTCTGATGTTCTCTCACTCTTCTTCTGGAAGTCTGTCCTCAGTAGTTCTAAAAGTGAAAGGAAAACTGCCCTACTTTGAGATTGTACTAGATGTGCTTTTATAAGTCTTCAATGTCTGCTTGCATTTGACATCTGTTTAAGAATTCCTGTGATATTCTAACTGCTGAAGTTCAAGTACATCTCATGCCCACATGGTATGTCAACCTACAGATTGCCTTGGATCATCATCTCTTAGTTTTGTAAGACAGGTATTACCTTTTTAAGCACAATTTTCTTAAGGCCAAGAGAAGTGAACATGTATTACCATTTTATATTTAAGATATTGCACTTTAAAGTATTCTTGTATAAATGTTCTATTAGCATGGTTAGAGAAGTGCTTTCTGTATGCACAGGCACCCTTGTATATTCTCTTGTCCTTTATAATGGTGAGCTGACCAGTACACAGTCGGGCTTTTGCCCTAAGTATGCCTGTACATTTTCTGTAAGCAGTTGCATTGGTTCTGTACTTAAACTCCCATGCATCCCCAGGGGTTCTGGATCAGAGTTAGATTTGAGATTTCTGCTTTAAGGTATTTTGTCATTGATTTCTTCTTGTATGTTAGATTTGAGTTATATGTTAAGCTGCTTTACCTTTAATGTATTTTCCACTTGTTTTTGACAGTGTGTTACCTTCGGGAAATGGCCTCTTCTAAGTCTTTGATGAACCTTCTGACCTTCAGTTTTGGATCTGCGATAGGATTTTTTCTGTGCTATCTCCTGTTTAGCATGATACTAGAAGAACAAGTTGAGATCCAACCTCGTATTCTTCACAATGATCCACATGGTCAACACTCAGAAGATACTGATAACAATCAGCTGCAAGGACAAATGAATTTCAATGCGGACTCTGGACAGCATAGAGGTATTTTGTTACACCTGATTTATTATATAATAAGTACCCTTTTCATGCACCACAAACTGCCAAGTATTTGTATGAATCATTTTCTTTCTGTTTGCCAGTGTTCAGGTTACATCTAAATAACTTTGTTCTCTTGAGGTCTACTGCAAGGTGATTTTCTTTGCTTACATCACATTTGTGATTTTTGCATTTTCCCCTTGGAACCTTTGCTAGGTAGATATATTTGTTAGCATTGTAGGTGTGATTGAATTGTTTTTCAGCTTTAAGGGGATAGTTCTGGACCATTTCTAACATCTGATCTAACCTCTCAGATAACCTAAAAGGAAAAAAATAGGATGGGTGCCTCACTGGGCTCTCTTAGCCTTCCTGATTATATGGCAATCCACAAGACTAATTGCTGTTCTCAGCTAGAAACAGAGAAAGTCTGTTGCACTTTGATTTTTCTTTTTTAAGAAGGTAGACCCTTCTGATACTTCAGGCACACTTTTACATTTGACCCATCTTATCATGAGTTCATTCTCAGTCCTAAATACAGATAGTATCTGAACTAGGGCAGTTTAGATGAGAAAAATTGCTTGCACTATAATGCATTTATTTCACAGGGTGTTAATAAGTAATTTATTATCTAAAGGTACTTAAACTGCAAGCTTTGTGAGTCAAGTTTGCGAGTGTTTTGCTTGTAGTTGTAGAAGACTGTTGCAAAGAAAACTGTTTTTGATAAGGTTAAACAGTAATATTTTAGGACCAGTGGTACAAATCTCACTACCCATGAAATGTTCTTTTACGTGAGTTAACATCACTATATGTGTCAAGTGAAAGTTTCTTTGAGGGGAAACAAATGCTGTGGCACCTTGGAAAATGTTATATTACACATCTGTTGTTTGGCACATTAATACTAGGTTCATAGTATCCTATCTTACTACCAGTGATAATTTACAAATAAGATTTAACTTGATTTTATGATAAATTTTTCTGCCTTACCACCTGCATTTCCCTTCAGAAACACATTTGTATTTTAGAATTGTTTATTAGGTTTTGTTAGTTAACATAAAATTATATAACAAAGATAAGAAGTTCTTTGACCTTTTTTTTTTCAGTTGCTGTGTTCATTGTGAATGGTATAAATATATATATATATATATATATATATATATATTTAATTTTAATTAATCTTCTAGTACCATAAAAAGGATGGCTTCTCACAGTTTTTATGTTTTAAAACGTTCTAAAGTCACAATGAAAAGATACCCATTTTGGTCCTACTCTTACGCTTCCCTTTATCTTGTGAAGTCAAAGTAACTTTGAGAATTTTAGTTTTTTGGTTTGGGGAGTTTGTTTGTTTTCTTCCGAAATTTAACATTAATTTCATTTGAAAACAAAGACCTCCTGTTTCTCTGCATGTATTTCCTGAATTAGAAGAGTGTCTGGGGAGAGCTTGCTCTCCTGCATGTATCAGTGCTCAGTCAAATGTGATGTTTGAGATTTTTCCTCTTTTTTTCAGATGAGAATAAAAACGTTGCAGATGGACTCTATCAGAAGGTGAAAATACTTTGTTGGGTCATGACTGGACCTCAAAATCTAGAGAAGAAGGCCAGACATGTTAAAGCTACCTGGGCCCAACGTTGCAATAAAATACTTTTTATGAGCTCTGAGGAAAATAAAGACTTCCCAACAGTGGGCCTAGAAACCAAAGAAGGCAGGGACCAACTTTACTGGAAGACTATAAAAGCTTTTCAATATGTTTATGACCATTACTTTGATGATGCTGATTGGTTCATGAAAGCAGACGATGATACATATGTTATATTGGACAATTTAAGATGGCTTCTTTCAAAATACAGTCCTGAACAGCCAATATACTTTGGAAGAAGGTTTAAGCCTTATGTGAAACAGGGCTACATGAGTGGAGGAGCAGGGTATGTTCTCAGCAAAGAAGCTCTGAAAAGATTTGTTACTGCTTTTAAAACCAACAAATGCTCTCATAGTTCCTCTATTGAAGACTTAGCACTAGGAAAGTGCATGGAGATCATTAATGTACAAGCAGGAGATTCCAGGGATACAAGTGGTAGGGAAACTTTTCATCCCTTTGTTCCAGAGCATCTCTTAATCAGAGGATACCTACCAAAAACATTCTGGTACTGGAATTACAATTATTACCCTGCTGTAGAGGTAAGTCTTTAGGAATTTGGCATATGTTCTGTGACGTACGTCTTATCATGATACAGTGTTTGAGTTGACAGTTTAATGGCAGCTAAATGTATTTTAGAAAAGAAAATTTTGTTGTGCTGTTGTTAGATACAGCTGTGTTAAATACTATAGTCATCAGCTAAAGCTGATGCTAAGAGATTAATGTTCTGGAGGAGCTACTCAATCTTGAATTACTATTACTGTTTTCCTATGCTTTGTGGAGAGCAAGAAATGATGAAATCTTCTTAAGAGGTTTGTCTGGTGTCAGCACTACTATGTTCCTTGCAAGGTTAGCTGCAAAGTTCCCATTCTGTTTTATACTCTTGTATCTCAGATACAGCATCACTCACTTCTCCAATCTCAACGACTCCCATGAGGTTCATTACAAAGCAGTGTTTTAAAAAATAATGGTTGTTTCTTAGGTTTTCATCATCAGCTTCCTCATGCTTCAGAGTATTTTTCTTCTCTTTATCTTACAGTTTTAATTTTCATAGAGTCACAGAATCCTTAGAGTTGGAAAGGCCCTCTGAAGGCCATCTAGGCCAACTCCTGCAATGAACAGGGACACCACAGCCTGGGCAGCCTGGTCTAGTATTAAATGTGGAGGTTGGTGGCCCTGCTTGTGGGAGGGGGTTGGAGGTTCATGATCCTTGAGGTCCCTTCCAACCTGGGCCATTCTGTGATTCTGTAAAAGCAAAAAATGCCCTCTGGCGTTAAGTGCAGGCAGCAAATTTTTTCACTGGCTTGATTACAGAGGCCAAAGACTATCCATTTCTGTCTTAGGAAAGATGCTTTGGCAAATCTGCCAGATTGATCCATTTTGCTTGCCTAATGCTAAGCTTTGAAATAAATACATGAATGACGAAAGGGAATTTTTTCCCAGGAAGTCAAATGTGTGTTTGAATTCTTCCTACAGTATCTTTAATCCATGGCATGCTCTGGAATTCTTGCTGATGGTTTTGACTTGTTTTGTATTTTAGGGCCCTGGATGCTGCTCTGACCTTGCGGTTTCATTTCACTATGTTGATTCCATGACTATGTATCACTTGGAGTACTTGGTTTACCATCTCCGTCCATATGGGTATTCGTATCGATACAATCCTGATTTGGCAAAGAGTCTGGAGGAGCAGAACAAAAATGAAGCACTAGAGGATAATCCAAAGCTAAAGCAAAAAACTTCTGAGAATTAATTGGACTTTGAAGGAAACTGAAAGAAGGCAGTACAGTGAATGAGAGTCTTCTTAAACTCCTGCATGAAGCTTGTGGACTAGGATTATTCATTGTGATTCTTACGTTGGCAGTACTACCAGTCAGTGCCTGTGCAAAAAAGAGTCCAGCGTAGGCTCTGGCTGTTTGGGATAGTGTAACACTGCAGCCCTACTCACAAAATATTGGGCCCTAGTGCTGTGGAACAGATGGAGGTTCTGGTATGCTGGTTCCTAGAAGAACTCATATTTAAAAGCATAGTGGACAGATTCAAAGATAATCGTACAGTATTTCTTTTTTTCTCTTCCAGATGTTCTGTTATGTGAGTTCTTATACTAGAAATCTGATGTAACAGGAATGCTTCATGGTGTTTTTCTCCAGTATTCTCAGTATTCTGCAGTTACTGCATGCATGTTGCCCTATAAGGAAGTGAGAAGGGTAAAAAATAGAGCCTCAAATCTGCTTTGCCTTATGACAGACTGGTTGGTAAGAATGGAGACACACCTCAGTGATTAATGTCTGAATTATTTCAGAAATTAAATTCACTGCTAGGAATTATTTACAGTTTTTTACTGTAAATCTCTATTGTACAGAACAACATGAAGTTAGATCACTACTGTCTTAGGGAGAAATCCAGGGATAGTTATTATTGGTCAAATTACTGAGGTGATGTGAGGAGACTATGTTTGTCCATGGCTTTTTTAAATTTTATTTGAATCAAGTTACCATTTGGCTAAATGAATATATAAATTCATCTCAGAACTTGATAAGATAAAGATGCTTTTTCGTATGAAAGCTCTTCTCCATTACATTTTCTCTGTAAATCAGTTAGTATGTTAGCCAAGTTACGGTGGCATGTAATTTGGATTCAGCCAATATTAATTAGTTCATTTCTATTCAATTTTCCCATTTCTGTACTTTGAGATTGTGACACTACCTTATTCACAGGATTTTACAGATACAAACACGTACTGTTTTAAAACAGCAACAAAGCTCATTTGTCTGCTTGGCTTAAAGTACTTCATCTCCCTTTTCTGAACATTTCTTTTCCTCTGTTCTTAAAGTTTCTTCTGCATTTGTTTCTTGTTGCTTTTTTCAGAACAAAGTGTTAGATGATCCCTATGTCACTCCTGAAGTATTCACTCTGAAGTATTTGGTTATTCTGATAACCCAGCCTGAATGCAGGTATCTTTCAAAGTGCATTAATCTCTCCACTACTAGATACTAGAGTATCTCTGCCTCGTAAGTGAAGACACTTTCTTGGTGTGGAACAAAACAGTTTTAATTACTGAAGAATTTTCAGAAGTCGAGTCTGTGTTTTACATACACAACACAAAACTTTGTGGTTTTCACTTCTTCGAATTCAGTTAATAGAGCAGTTCAGGGGATGGGGTTAAGCTTGACATGCCTTTATTCCACACTTGAACAAAATTTCTTTTTAGCATTTTTCGCCTTCATCATATTGATGAATTTGGACATAACCTGATTACCTCCAGTCACTGCTTTGGAAAGGGCACATACCGATAGCAGACAGCCTTATTTACTGCTGCTGTCCTTCAGGTTCCTGGGAGAGGATGTTAGCATAAAGTACTGGAATTTGTGTTTTCCAAAGATAGTTCTCGCACAGATTGGGGTTCTGTCTGTGGTCCAGTTGTGAGGTCGTGACTGCTTTTCTGATCATTATTCTGCAGCATAATGGCAATTACTGAAATATGTGGAATTGAAATATTGTATGTCATGTCTCTGCCTGAATATAGGTTAGGTTCGTATGTTAAATCTGTTGATCTTTCATGAGGAAGATCCTCCAAAATACTGAAAGAGATGAGCTTTATTTTATGTTAACTGACTTAAGTAGAAAATTATAACTGTATTTGTTTAGAAAAAGGAAAAAGCCTCCGGTTTGCTCTAGTCAGGGTGGTGCTGTAGTCAGAGAGAGAATGCCTGATAGCTTCTTTTAGTTGGATGCTTCCTTCTGTCAGCTAAACGTTTATCCCGCGTGCCACGCAAACAATAAGATCGTGAAATCCATATGCTGTTGATAACTCTGGTGGCATTGTTCAAACCTGCAATTAGAAGTTCTGGAATACATCAGGAAACTGTAGAATGAAATCAAGATCTCAGTGTTAATCTCTTTGCCTTTCCTCTGGGGCAGTTCTGATGGTTGTCTGCTCCCCAGCTGCGGTTTGTGGTCTTAGCAGAGCAGGGCAGGGCCTTGGGTACAATGGAGAAATAAAGAAGTGAGCAGCACATATCTGCAAATTCCATGTCGTTAGGGAGCAAGGCTGAGAACGTACTGCCTTGTGACAAGTAGGCGGCCTGTCTGGAGAAGTAAGAGCAGCCTTCTCTTCCAGTGCTTATTCTTGCTTTGTTTTAAAGTGTTCTGCTCCCACACCTCTGATATTTCTTTTGTCTTTCTGGCAGTACTGCAAAGAAATACAAATATTGTTTTCCTCTCAGTATCCAAATAGGCTTGAAAAAGTATTGATTTTACATTCTAATAGAAGGCTGTTGCTCTCTGTTAAATTGCAATTTAGCAACGAGCCTATACCTCCTGAAATGAGCAGTTTGCATCTCATTCTTCAACAGCTTAAGTGGACAAGATTGGAATTTGAGCAGTTAGTATAATTTTCACATGCCATCTTACAGAACCATTAGCAGTTTATTACTTCACTCTCAGGTCTTCATGCTTTGACAGAGTACTGAGTATTTCTGTAGCCCCTTTCTGTAGCAGGCTTCTTCATGGGGGGATACAGAAGCACAAAGTCTCTTTGGCTCTTTAGATTATTGCATGCTCTCTCTCTCTCTCTTGCTCTCAGATCTCTTAATGTTATCAAACATAGAAGCTTCCATTGGTGTGGTTGTGATTAAAATGGTGCATCTAACATTTATGAAATAGTTTTCTTGGAATTAGGAAGCAGCAGGCTTTTCTTAAACACTTGTTTGCCCCTGGATATGGGAATGTTCCTTAGCATAAAACAGTAACATATTAACCCTGCAGTAAGAGTGTTTTAGCTCAGGAGAAATGAGAGTGCCAAGCAAAATTCTTAATTGGAGGACAGTGTTAAATTTGGCTTGCAGAAAAAAAACAAATTTAATCTTTAACTTTGAGTTCATTTTGCAGTCTGTATTGGACTTAGTGAAGGGGTTAGATGTGTGGTGTTAGCACAGTCTCTCATCTTGTGGGAGGTCTTTTCCCAATGTCTTTTGTCTGTAAGGACACTGTCTTTGTTTTGCTCTGATGGGGTTATGTGTTAAAATCACTTTTTCTTTACATATGACTGTTCTGTTTCCAGAGTGTGCGTTTCAGTGAGTAGCTGGCACACCTGTAGTGCACAGTTTGCCATCCGAGAAGGGCTTTTATCTTTGTATGACTAAGAAAGATGTGGGTTATTTCTCTGATGTCCTGCTACTGCTGCTAACAGTGCACACGCAGATGGACATAAACCCTTCAATATGGCACAACGTGGGAAGGCTGCCGTGTCCTTTTTCTGACAAGAAAAACTTCTGTGGGATTCCAAAGGTGTAATTTGCTTTAGTTTACCATACTGTATTTAAAATACTTCAGAAATGTTGTTAATGCTCTTAAAAAATAAAATGAATATTGCTGCTGGACAGTATATTCCACTAAAAACCTGTGAATGTTTCATTTTGCAGTTTTAGGCTGTTGTGTCCCTACTGACAGGTGTAAATTGGTGACTTGTCTGGACTGATCAGCGTAAGATTTGTTTCTGAAATACCTTCTTTGAAGTGCCTTTGACCAATTTTTAGCATCAGAATTAAGTTCAGAATTGAATAAATGAAATAAGTTATCTCACATGCACTGTGTGTCTGTCTTCATTTGCCCGCCCTGTATGCCTGTGGTGTGGCAGCACAATGGAGTGCAATAAGGATATTCTCCTTCCTTGTTTGTTTGTTCGTTAGTTTTGGTGGGTGCAGGAAAGGTGGAAAGCTTGCTGAGTTCTCTGTTATGCATGCTACTAGCAAATAGCAAGCTGCATAGAAAACTTCATTTAAAGAAAATGTTAAATTAATCACTGGTGCTAGCACCAGATCCACATAGACAGACTGCTGTTCCTTCATTGTGCTGATTTTCACTGTCTCAATGTTATTATAGCATCCTGAACTGACTGTAGCTGATGCTCAGAGATAAAGCAACATTCTTCCAAATGCACCACCTTTGACAGGAAATACCACTTACAGAAAGCTTCGCTGGCTCGGGGGAATTTCCTGCACTGCTTTTCTGTGCACTGATGTGAGTTTAAAAGGAATTTAAGTCAATATTTTCCATCCAGGGACTGAAGGCTCTCTGAGTGCAGGGTGGATGCACTTGTGCATTGCTGGTTCCAACGCACTGCAAAATTGTCTGCAGCCTTCCCTCCTTTTTGAGAGTTTTTTGCCCTAATGAGGCCCTCCTTTGGGTTCTACAAATGTTGTGGTGAGTAACTTATTTTGACAACTGTGAAAGGAATCAGAAAGTCAGAGCCCTGAAGTGAATATTTTCATTGTTACACTTAGGAAATAACATGGACATGGAAAAGTAGCTGGATCACTGGAAATTATTTCTAGGCATTAGGGTGGTATTTGGTATCATTTACAAAGGAAAGGTGAATACTTACATCAAAAATGTAGACTGAGCTCTGTGTTTTTCCACCTTTCTAGTATATGTGTATATATACTCCTGCAACCCTAACCTTGGATGCTGGAGCCTGCAGTGGTGCTGAGCCAAACTCCAACATTTCAGTTCCACTTGGGGCTCCTCTGATGTGTCATACTGCTCTTGGGATGAAAGTTGATTCTTTTGCACAAGGTATTGCCTTCTCTTTGAGAGGCTCATGCCAGAACCTGAGTTGTCATTTTCACACTTCAGGTGTCTGTGGCTCACTTGAGGTCTGGATGCAAAAGATCATACATGAGGTTAGTAATCTTTGTTGAAATCAGCCTGCCTAAATGAGACACTATAAAAGGAAGAGTCAACCTGAGGATTATAGATGAAGAAGATCTGAGTAGATTGAGACATGAGTTTCTCAGGAATGTTAAAATATGAAGTTGGTTTGAACAGCTGCATATCTCCTGACATTTAAACCAAAGCTTTGTTTGAGGAGGCACGCGCTTGCAGGATACAGTTCTTAGTTTTTAGAACCTGCCTGTGGCATTTGTGAGCCCATCCCTTTGGCATCCTGAAATCCACAGGGCTGGTTGGTTCCTTTGAATCTGTGTTCTGTCTCCCAGCAACTCCTTGCCCTCTTGGTTTGTCCCCTCCTAGGATGAAGTGCTCACTCGCTGAAAGGAGAGGAACACTGTCACTAACTTCACTCATGTGGTCAGTGTGTACTGCTCTGTTCCACCCCCAATTTTCAGTGTTCCCAGCAGCTCTGAATTCTTCAGAGTCTCACGTCAAGGTCTCTTCTTCCCCTCAGAGCTGACCAAAAGGACTTTGAATTTAATTTTAGTATTCTGCACCTTTAAAACCTTATTCTATGATTTACTCCATTTGTTATTGCACTTGAGTTCTTAATGAGGAATCGTCTGAACATCACTTGACCAATCTGGTGGCCTTCTATGATGGAGTGGTGGCAGCGGTGGACAAGGAAAAGGTGACTGATGTCATTTACCTGGACTTGAGCAAGGCCTTTGACACGGTCCCCCACCACATCCTTATCTCCACATTGGAGGGATGTGGATTTGATTGGTGGACCACTCGGTAGATAAGAAACTGGTTGAAAGGCCGCAGACAGAGGGTGGTCATCAATGGCTCTATGTCCAGGTGGAGGCCAGTAACGAGTGGTGTCCCCCAGGGGTCTGTCTTGGGACCAGTGCTCTTTAACGTCTTTATCAATGACATCGATGACGGACTCGAGTGCACCCTCAGCAAGTTTGCTGATGACACCGAGCTGAGTGGTGCGGTCAACACAGTTGAAGGAAGGGATGCCATTCAGAGGGACCTTGAGAGGCTAGAAAGGTGGGCCCGGGTGAATCTGATGAGGTTCAACACAGCAAAGTGCAGAGTTTTGCACTTGGGCCGGAGGAATCCCAGGTATCCATACAGACTGGAAGGAGCGGTCCTTGAGGGCAGCCCTGTGGAGAAGGACTTGGGGGTCTTGATAGACGAAAAACTTAACATGAGCCAGCAGTGTGCCCTTGCGGCTCGGAAGGCAAATGGTATCCTGGGCTCCATCAAAAGAGGGGTGGCCAGCAGGGACAGGGAGGTGATTGTTCCCCTCTACTCTGCTCTTGTGAGGCCCCATCTGGATTACTGCATCCAAGTGTGGAGCCCCCAGTACAAGAAAGACAGGGAGCTGTTGGAGAGGGTCCAGATGATCTGGGGACTGGAGCACCTCCCCTGTGAAGACAGGCTGAGGGAGCTGGGCTTGTTCAGCCTGGAGAAAAGAAGGCTGCGGGGTGACCTAGTTGCAGCCTTTCAGTACCTAAAGGGAGCCTACAGAGGGGAGGGAAATCAACTCTTTGAAAGGGTAGATAACTGCAGGACAAGGGGAAATGGTTTTAAGATGAGGGAGAGGAGATTTAGGTTGGACGTCAGGGGAAAATTCTTTACAGAGAGAGTGGTGAGGTGCTGGAACAGGCTGCCCAGAGAGGTTGTGGATGCCCCATCCCTGGAAGTGTTCAAGGCCAGTTTGGATGGGGCCCTGGGCAGCCTGGTCTAGCACTAAATGAGGAGGTTGGTGGCCCTGCACGTAGCAGGGGGTTGGAGATTCATGATCCTTGAGGTCCCTTCCAACGCGGGCCATTTTGTGATTCTGTGATCACACTGTTAAGTGTTATCAGCTCCTTCTTCCTGGAGACGAAGAGCACAACATGGAAGATAAAAATTAACTTGGGGGCAAACCCTGGATGCTCGGTAGAAATCGAAACTAACAGATGTCTGTGCAGTTGTGGTAGTTGTGGTGCTGTTTTAATGAATAACCGTTGTCTCCAAATTCCCTACAGCTGTAGTCCAGCACCCTGCAGGGAAAACCACACCTGGAGGTCTGATGTTTTTTCAGCACAGAACAGTACTTGACCAGCACCAGTAGCTCCAGCATTTATCACTGCAAACAGCAACTGCCACGTGTTCCATCATAGATTCTGCTGAAATCATGGCTCTGAAACAGCACTCGTGTTTCAAGGGCAGGGAGGGCAGTCATACTGGCGGTGTGCTCACCCAGCCCCCCACCTCACACTGACACCCGGCACAGCTGATAGCTGTAACATCCAGAGACTTCTTGTGAGATTGAGAGACTTTGCTAACAGCTTGCTAACTTGCTCTATGCTATTGAGTGACATGAAGGACTGATTGCACAAAGAATGCTTCAGACATGAAGCGTTGGCCAAGGGCTGCATTCTGAACCTCATGGTGCAACAGGAGGGTTTCCCCCAGCAGTTCTGTCTGTCCCAGTTCAGTACATAATCAAGTGACCTTATATCACCAGTCTTGTATAACCTTTGTTAAATCTTTACCTTACAGCAATGAAACCTTGCTGCTTCTCTCATATGAGAGTATCATATGATCTCATCCAGAACACATAACTAAAATCAATTTATAAATTGGAGGCAGAGCTCTCCTGTTCAGCAGCTGGTAGACGTTCAATGTGAACAATGAAGTCTTTGTTCCCTTTTGCCAGTGTTATCTCATTTTTAGCAGACAACAGGAAGTGTCTGTTTACCCAGATTGGAGCATTTGTTGCCCCACTAATTGCAGGCATCCTGCTTTCAGAGCTGCTCCATAGCAGCTATGCTGGGGTTTATGGCTTTATCTTTGTCAATCTCCAAAGCTACGTTTCATGCATCACGTTCAGATTTATGCAAGTATTATTCACAGTCTCTAAAAGCAAAAGTTGTCTTGCCAAACTTAGATCTGAATATTTACAAATTTAAGGCAATCCTGATGAGAGAGAATCTCCTGCATCAGCTGTATCTTCTTGCTTTAAAGACATCACTATGAAAACAGCACTGAGTCTTCCTAGCATCTCCTAAGCGAGCCTTAGGAAACTAAAAAGGAGTAGAAGTCACATGGGAGTCCCGTGCTGATAAATCCACCACCATTTACAATCCCACAGCACTTTGTCAGCGCTGCAGGGGATGTGTTGGCACCTGCAGGTTTTCCTTGCTCTCCCAGGTGCTGCTCATCTCTGCAGCCATCTCCTCTCCCTTCGGCTGCTGGCAGGGCCGAGCCGTGCCTGCCTCCTTGCTCACAGCTCCCGTGTTGCTTTTCATGTCCCCCTTTCCTTCCAGAGGAGCAGGATATCCTGGCAGGAGTTCTACCCATCATTCTGACTGGTGCTATGCAAACTCTGGCTTTTATGACCCATTCTATAGCAGGGTGGTAAGATGAGTATGCTTTGTCTCAGTGTTAACATATATTACTTCCTTCCCTTGGGAAGTTCCCTTCTGTGTTATATATACATGTTTTTTTTTACTGCTGTTATAGGTTGTTTGCCTTTCTCCTTTCAGTGATATATCCCTGTTAATGTACAATTGGTTTTAAGGGCATAAATTCCTCTCTGCTCCTTAATAACTGTTCCCATTGACTGCTGAGCTTGGATCATGTTTTGTTGCTGTGCAGAGCCAGGAGGATAACTGCTATTGCCACGGGCCTGCTGGTTACAAAGGTTCCTTACCTCTGATAAAGAGTAGGCAGCTGCTATTAAAAACTCCATAGCATTATTATGGGCAAGAATATGATCCAAACCATTTTTTGTGCATGAAAGCAATGAAGTGTGTTCATACACACCTGTGCCAAATGTAAGTCCACAGCTTAATAATTCCTTTCTGTAATTTCTAAAGAACAGGAAACAAATTCACGAGGATGGAAACACT